CATTGCTGCATTTTTTTTTCTTCCACTTGAGGGGCTGTTAGTGTGCACTGAAAGACGTTGTTTTTAGTCCGTTTTACCATTGTATTCACCAAGAAGCCGTTGTTTCTGTTATACTGGTGAAATGGTGCATATCACATAGTAACCAATACAACATCAAATCGCCATGTTTCAAACTAAATATTGATATATGTCAATCTCTTTATTTCTCTGTTAGGATGCGACTGATAAGGAGGTGTACAGTCAAACTCCACTGGGAATCCTCTGTGCCGGAGAAAATCCTCAGCTCAACCCATCCAGTGTGGCAATCGTCTTGGAGGGGAATGTGGTGATGGATGGACCGGCTAACCTGCCTCAGGCCTTCTGTGTCCTGTTCGGACTCATTTATGCCCTGCAACTGGAGTACCCAAAGTGCATGAAAAACACTTTCCACTTTGCTAAGCAGGTGATGTTAAAACTTGGTAAAGTTGAGCTGGCACCCAAAAATCAGCTTACATTGTGAAACGGGGTTCTGAAAAGTTGGCTACTGTTACATATGGCAAGTATTTAGGCTTCCATATTGCATTTTGTTGTTGTTGCATGTTTGCACTGTTTGACCTATTAAGCTTGTTGGCATTTCCATTTGTGTTTTATTTTATAAACTACTGACAACATCTCTCCCAAACTCCAAACAAAACAAAGAAGTCATTTAGAGCATTTATTAGCAGACAATTACAACTGGTCAGAATAACAGAGAAAATGCTGTGTTTTCAAACCTCAAATAATGCAAAGAAAACAAGTTCTTCATTATTAAACAACACAATACTAATGTTTGAACTTAGGAAGAGTTCAGAAATCAATATTTGGTGTAATAACCCAGATTTTTCAATAACAGCTTTCAATACGTCTTGGTTGCTAGGTGACTTTATGTCTCTCCTGGCACACAACCTCAAGCAGCTCGGCTTTGTTTGATGGCTTGTGACCATCCATCTTCCTCTGGATCACATCCAGAGGTTTTCAGTGGGGTTCCAACTGTTCCATGACAGGGTCTTGATCTGGTCTTCCTCCATTCACACCTGAATTGAGCTGAGGGTGGGTTTATCCAGCAGGACAATGCTCCATGCCCCACAGCCAGGTCAATCCAGATGTGATCCAGAGGAATATGAATGGTCACAAGCCATCACTCAAAGCCAAGCTGCTTGATTTTTTGTGGCAGGAGTGGCTTAATAAGTGACCCAACAGCGATGTGAAAGGTGTTGCAGAGCAGCCAAGATGCATGAAAGCTGTGATTGAAAATCTGAGTTATTCCACCAATTACTGATTCCTGAGCCCTTCCTATGTTAAAACATTCGTATTGTGTTATTGAAAAAGGAATTTTTTTTTCTTTGCACTATTCGAGGTCTGAAAACACCATCTTTTTTGGTTACTTTGAACATTTGGTATTTTTTGTAAATAAACGCTCTAAATGAGAATATTTGGAGTTTGGGATAAATGTTGTCAGTCATTAATTTATAGAATAAAACACAAATGTTAATCCAGTTTTTACAAACAGTAAAACGAGAGAAAGTGATCATTTTAAAGAAGTCTCTTAATTTTTTCAGAGCTCTAAATAAATATATATTATAGATATAACTATATATCTTTATATAGAGAGATTGCTATTGTTTCATGTGAAAAATGTTCTCAGGAAAATGTATGGTACAATATTTTTGCCACAGTTTGTATAGGAAGCTCAGTTTCATTATATCCAAATGAAACACTCAAGTTTTAATAAAAGGTAAAACTTTATTATTGTGTCTTTTTTGTAGTTGACGGAATAAAAAATATAAATACGAAATGTAACCACTTTCAACAAAAAATTCTAAGTTAAATAATTGGGCAAAGCAATTGATATTACACAATATTTTAAGTAAAATCAACTTCACATGAAGTGCATTGTACTTCAAATAACAATTCCAGTCCTTGATTATTTTAAGTTTAATTCACTCAAGTTTTCATAATGCTTTACTTAAATGTTTAAAGGCAACCACTTTCCTCTATTTTTTTAAATAGATTCAACTTATCCGGGCTTACAGTGTAGTCAGAAGCTTGGACTTCGTTCGCACTGTCCTTCATTCTACATTAAAGAGTTGTTTTCTTTGTTGTTGTTGCAAAAATAATTTTTAAAAGTCATGCAAAATGTGGAAACAACATTTGAGTCTGTAGTTGATTTCTAAAGATGTGTTCAGTCAGAATGTGAATCAAAACTTAAAAGCTGCATAAAAAAAAAGTCAAATTTAAGAAGTTACAGGGATACGTGTACATTTGATGCAGGCTATTTAGGTAAAGACGTGACCACCTATTTGTAATCCAAGTACACTCATTAAAACTGAGATAGAAAGAAATAAGTAAACAACTGTCAAATAAAAATAAACTGAGGGGAAACTAATTGAAATGCCAGAACAAGTCTATAGCTAGCCAAAGTCTTTACATTAGCTACTTTGGTTATTATAACAGACTGACAAAAAGCTGATAGGGTGTTAAGATTTGAAGATGACCAACCCGAAGAAGGTACTTCTTCCTCATTCTGAATACACTGATATGCCCTAAGTGCTTTTCTCTCTTGTTTTCTTAAATTGGGTTAGGGGAGTTGGGCTTTGATGGGCTTTAGAGCTAGCATGGACAGGAGTCCTGAAAATATTTTCTTAATTTCTTATTTTTGTTAAAGGTCCCATGTCATGCTTTTCTGGTTGTTACCCGTCCCCTTGTGTTATGAAGGTTTTTCTGCATGAAACCGGTCTGCAGAGTCACAAACCCTCAAAGTACACCCTGTAGCGAGTAAAACTCTAACACAGAGAAGACCTGTCTATGCTGCCCCAGAACGCCTCGTTGGACATTTCTCTTTTTCTTCCGGGTACCAAGTGACGTATTGGGGCTAAGTGACGTAACGGCGTGAGGAGCTACGCGGATTGGTGGACCAATCCGTGTAGCTCCTCACGCACACTCACTCAGCCTTATTTTTCTCAGCTGCAGCTCCACGGATTTCTCAGCCTGAGACAGCGGGACACGGCGAGGCCCGAGCTCACACACAGACCCACAGCCAGGTTGCGGGTGTGTGTGTGTGTGTGCCGGTCCTTGCCGTGTCTTGCTGTCTCGCAGACCCCACGCAGCAACCAGGAAGCGACACCAGCAAGCCAGCTCACACTGTCCGCTCCAGCAGCGAGCCCTGCAGCGTCCCGCCAACACAGCACCCAGACCCCACGAATTCTCATCTGTTTGTCATTACTGGTGTCATTTCCTGGTTGCTAACAAACGCCATTGTAACACATAATCACTGATGTTCCGCTGTAACGGTGCTGCTAACTGCCGCCTCGTTAATATCAAATCCATGCTGTCATGAACGCGCGGTGCTGTTACGTGTACGCAAATTGACGTGCTTGATGTGAACGAGCATTTTGGTTAAAGTTGCGCATGCTCTATGAGTGCACATACGGGTACTTCTCAGGCATGCTGGGTAATCTGTGACGTTTCACTCTCTCAAAAGTTGGGCCATTTTATCATCATGCGCTAATGAGCAGCTCTCATAGGAATGAATGAGGCCCCGCCTCCCACGCTGTATCCAGTTCTTATTATACATCCATGCCACGGACCCCTTGGCCTCCTCCTTGTCTGAAAGGCAAGTGAATCAGTAGCATACACACAGTCAGACTGTCCACCGAAGAAAGCAGGCAAATAGATTGTCTCTGAAAGCAGATTATTACGACTTATATTTATCTTTATTGTTTGTCTGGATTCACATGATCGGTGGTAAAACTTCTCTGTGCATACTTTGCTGTTGAGTTTCTATGGACAGAGCGGTGCAGCTGGACTTTGCGGAAGTGCTACCCTCGACGTCGCAAATCGCTTGACATTTTTGCAGAGAGCTGCGCTCAAAGTTCAAATTATTTCAACGTGCAACGAATCAGATGACAGCTGTATGAATCAGAGACAGATAGCAAGTGTAGTTGCAAAACTGCAGGCAAAACACTTTAAAGCAGGCATTTTCTGAATGGAGATCGGATCGGTCTAAGCTATCGTTGTTGGTGCCCTTTTCACACTTAAAATAACGTCATATAAACTTTTAAAAAACAGCGATTGTTTTCCGCATGCCAAGGACCGTCTGTGACAAGGATTATTATTCATTTTCTGAACAAATATGAGATAATGTGGGGCTCTGTGTGCTGCCAACGGCTGAAGTTTTGTTTTGCGGATTTAACATAAAGTCAGTGACTACCGCCAACTGCACGTTCATGCAGTCATAACGCTGTAAAGTAGTTTGCTAGTTAGTCTAGCCACACAGCTTTGGACCGTGACATTCACGTCATCATGACGCTATGTTTAGCTAATGTTAGTTATCTAGCTAGCACTGGCATTGTTTAACACATACACAGACAAGAGCAGAGAGGAGGACTTGTTATATTTAAGTATGTATTATATATATTCCATGTGCTTTTGTTATAATTGTTTGTAGTCTTTTATCTCATTATTTATCTTAAATCCACTGATTCTAAATGTTTTCCTTCATAGCTTCATCATCCTCTTTACCACTGAAAGGCCCACACAGAAAGATTTTATATTGGTAACAGCTATTATATTAATTTTCAACTGTTGAAACTGAATCTGCATTTTGTTACTTGTTGAGGTACATTTTCAAAGAAATTAAAAAAGAGTTCAGTTACTGACAAAGTCAGTCACAACTCATCACTCCAGCACCCACAAGAACATTCACCCTTGTTGCACTCAGTGAACTACTTGACACATATCCACTCGCTGACTACAAGATTGGATCAGCCCGCATGGTTACCCTGAAAAGACATATTGAAATAAGAGCTTGGTACATGGGTGGGGGGGGTCTGTTGTACAGTTATTTTATACAACTCATATATTCATTATACATTTCCATACAACATGCACTCAGTCATTTAAAAGTAGGCTTTCACCACTGAATTTGAAATCTAATAGTGTCTGAAGTATAATCTTTTTTTTGTTGTCTCTATGCAGACTAAATCGTCTTGATGATGGGAACTCCTGTGATCCTCAAGATAATCTTGACTGATTGCAGCTCTCAGAGGCTGACTCTCCCTCATGGACTCCCTGTATCAGTTGATGACCTCAAAGATGAAGTCAAGAAACAGTGTGGACTTGAGGGCAATTTCCGACTGCAGTTTATGGACTCCTTGTTTGGAAATGAATTCCTTAACCTTACATCAATGACTGAAGTAGTGGACAAAGGTACTCAGAGTCTGTGATGTGTCAAGGCCCACAACTATTCTGAATGACCATGAGAGGTCTGCTGTTGCAGTCCTAAATCCCCAGATTTCTTACGCTCTAAATGACTCCTCGTCCCTGTCCAGCGGATATGTGGATACAGATGTACAGTCAATTGAGTCTACGAGCACACGGTCATCTTGGCCTGCTGTTTTTCATGTGCCCAAGTTCTCCTACGATGTAGGAGGGCTTAACTTATGTTCAAAATGGCACTGTGCTTATGCCAGAGCCGAAGTTGAAGTCAGCCATCCTTGATCGTTTAGTGCAGGAAATAGTGAAGTATAAAGTCTATGTCACTGATAAGGAGATGGAAGAGTTGGCACAAAGTCTTATCAAAACACATCCGTGTTCATCTGAGAAGGGGTCCTGCACTGGATGTGGCGGATGGAAGACCAGTTTAAAGTATAAACTATGAAGTCTCTGAGGTAAGGCTAATCCCATGCTCGGTTTTTCATCCTGAATTTTGAAGTTGATAAAAGGAAATCCATGGGCACACTGGCAAACTGCTAATATACTGTAACTGATTTTATATAATTCATCTGTGCTTTTTAACCTCATCCTGGTCTCCAGTATGTGTGGTGGTTGTTTTCTCCCTAATGTTAAACAATGACCAAATTCCTTTTTGCTTTTATGCGTTTTCAGATCAATTCTGAATTTAAGAGAATCACGACCAAGCCACTACAATCAAAATTCCTGTCTCAGCAGGACTTCCACTCTGGCACCCTGATGAAGCTGTTCCAAAAGCGAGGAGGACAGCATGGGGGAAGGCTGGAAACAATAATTGTGCAAATGGCTAATGTAAGTGATACAGGATTCTCACAATTATGAATAACCTATAAACATAAATTATTTTGAAAACAATTTTTGAGAATCACGAATTTTAGAATTGTGAAAAGTGATGCTACAATATTTTACATTTGAGTTATTACATAATTTATTTGCAAGAATGGCACACAAAAAGTGCTCATCGCCAAGGAGACCTTTAGTGCTTTTATTTTTATTTTATCTTTCTCCTTTCAGTAGTGTAGTAGCTCCGCGGTGAAAGTGACCAGAGTGCCGGCTGACAGCAGCTCTAACACACAGTGCTACTTTTTGGTCCTTCAGTATCACCAAAGATCCTCTGATTGAGTAGAGCATTGCCATTCCCTCTCTAACCACACGTTTAGCTAAAACACCCTAATTCTACACATTGTAGCTTTAACTGACCCTGTCTTGAGCAATCTATCCATCTCAATTTTAAATGTGATATATAATAATTCAACTCGTATATCCACTGACCACAATTTGAGAAAGATGTCCAGGGGATGTGGAGCTCACAGCAGGGCTTGCACTTTCTTAGGAACTGTGATGTTGTATTTTCAAAGTAATATGTATCCAAATGACAGTTCACACCAGTAGTTGACTTGAATTAAAGCACAAGACCTGTAATAAGACACTAATCAAGTACATTTACTTTCAGTGTGATGATGTAGATGCTGGACGTGAGTCTATCATCAAGGGACTATGCATCTCCATGGGGGAAGATCCAAAAGACCTTGTGCGAGAATATGTGGTATGTACATGAATCTGCCTGCTTCTTTGATACTTCTCTTCACTTTTGTTTTCATACATGATCTCTTGGGCTGAAATTGTTCATTGAAAATATAGTGGGTGGTTTTTGTTTCATATTATGAAATATTACATTCAATATTTCATCGTTGCTGCTTGAATTAACTTAATACATTTGCAATTGCAATTTTTACTATTATACTTGTGGAGTAGTTGCATACATATTTACCTTGGAGCATTTTAACAAACTAATAAGTGAACACGGCAACAAGTGCCACACAAGGACGTGTCCCACTTGTTATACTCAGTAAGGCATAGCCAGCTTAAACATCACCAGATTGATTCATGTTCCGCTGTAATTACTTGATTATTTTATCTACATTTAATTTGAAATCTTTAATTTACTTTCATTTATAATGTTCAACTTGCCATGGCTAGATCTATACTATGCCTTCCCTTATTTTATTTCATTTTTTCTTGATGGGGCTTGGTTTTAGGTCTTATTTGCTTAAATGTTGCTGTTTTTTTTTTTTACAGGACACAGATGAAGGCGCCATCAAGGACACGACTGTGGGGATTTATGTTCTTAAAGATGCTTCCACTGATGAACCGGAGGACATCGGGATCGTTCTAGAAGGCGTCAAAGTCTTGACAAATCTGGATAATGTAGCATTAGCTTTTGTAATGCTGTTCAGACTAATATATAGTTCGGCGAATATCAGCTACCCTGCTGACCTCCGCTACACCTTTGAAGTAGTCCAAAGCATTATAATGGAACTGGACTGCGGTAAGCTCTCAAACAAAGCAACTGCTCTGAAAAACAGGCTCCTTCAGTGAAACGGTTCAGAGACTGCTGCATGCAAGAAACCCCAAACAATTGAATCTGTTCTTTTTTCTCTGTTATGTTTTAGGATTTGTTGTTACTTCGTTACAACTTGTGTTTTTAACCTGAGACCATTTTAAAGACCATTGCTGTCTTTAGTGTTTGAGACTCTATTATAAGAAACCTGTCAATCCTGCATGTGTCTGAAATCTTTTATCTAGCATCCCCCCCCCTGCTCAGAATTTAAGGAACTGTGCAACTGTTCACTCTTATTGTTCCTTCATATATTTCTTCTAGACTGATGCCACCACAGGTCATTTTATGTCACAAATGTTCAGGTTAAAGCATAGTTCCATGCTTTAATTATTCAATGTTCCATGCTGCAGTGTTTTTCTATATTGCCTGTGCTGTAGCACCTCTTTTAATTGTTTAAAAATATATATATTTTATAAATTCTATTGTTACTGTGAAAAGGGTAAAACCCAGAATTAAACCACATAATGGAGAACTAGTTTGAATGTACTGAAGTGTGTGTATAGTGGTATTCTTGTTGCTTATTTAAAGCTCAATAAAGTGTTTTGATACAGAACTGCTTGATTTTGTATTTGCCTCCATTGGAAGCTATGTGTGCAATGTATTTGAATCATAGACTGTATATATAAATGGACGTAGGGTCCGTGACGTCACCCATAGGATTCTGCAGAGTTGCCGTGAAGCCCTTAGTAGGCGGAGTCGGCCACTAACGGCTCGACAGTGACGTCAGAGTTCAACTGCCGCCTGTTCCAGCCCGCTCCAAATAAGGGCAAAGAGGCGGAGCCGAGGCGGGACCTGCTGCCACAGAGCTGAAAGTTCCAGAGCTAGCTGAAGCTACCAAGCTAAGCTAACATGCTCCCCATCTGCACGCTGCCGTCGCATTTTACGTTTCTAAGGTAAGCGGACATGAAACTATAAATAATAATCTAAGTTATTGAGTTTTTAGCATAATACTTCAGAATCTTAAAACCCCTTAACGTTTGTATGCAATTGTGCTAAATTCAACACTGGAATCAAGCAAATATTAATGTTTGCATGACATTAGTTATTTATATTTTGATATCACTTAACTATACGTTTAATACAATTAAGACAAGCTAAGGTACATGTGATGGTAGCTAGTTAGTGCTCTTACCTGTGAGGCCTCCTCCAAACAGCATAATAACCAGACTGTATCATTAAAACTAAGTACCAGTTATAGATCCTTGACTTTAGACAAACAATTCAAAAGATAAAATGTATTTAAAGACCAATCTTTATTTGAATGTGCCTCTTAACCTGAGATATTAGTTATACAGTAATAGTATTGACAATCTAAAAAAACTGAGAAACTCAACAGTCAACTTTATGTTTCTTATTGTCTAAAGCATTTATTATTTTCATTTTCCCAATCTCATATTCAGTGTGGACGGATTGAGACAGCGTGGTGTTCAGAGAGCTGCAGAGACTTCAGGGAGAAACCTCCGTGTGATGGATGTCCTGTCTGTTGGTTTGGAGAGGACTGAGGGTCTTTCCTCTGCGAGGAGGACCAGGGCTGATGAAGGAGCCTATGCTGGGCAAAGCTGATACCAACTGCACAGGCCTAGTCTGTCACTTTATTTTACTAAATGTGTTTACTTATACATTTAATAGGTTTACACCTTCTGTCCATATGTGCTTTTGGTTCACATTTCAATAAATTGTATTTGTATTTGCAATCCTTTTGTCCATTATTCTTACTGAAAATGTTAGATTACACATTCACATCTGACTGAAGATTGGCCCCATTTATTTGTGACGTTGTAAAACATGGTACATGTTGTGAAGCTCATAAAGTGAGGCAAATAGAAATAACCAGCTGATGGAGTGTAGATGTGGAAATAGCTGCATTCGATCAGCTGACTGTTTTTACAATAAAAGTAGTTTCTTAGTGAATGTCCTGTACTGGTCTTAAAATCTCATAACATCAGCTTTTAATGTTCCTCTTGAATGTTCTTCTTGACCCTCAGAGAAGGAGAAAATGTCGTGTCTCTCAGGCATGTCCTTTCCTAACAAAAATGACAGGAAACATAAAACATATTATTGCAGAACATAGTGTTATTTATGAAAGCGGTGTGTTTGTGTGTTTAGGGGCTGTTGATATAATTATTTTGTAATTGTAATGTTTTTTTTTTATTTCAACAATGAGCTACAAAGACAATCAGATTATGAATGAACAGTATGAAGTTCATCAACATTGAAATATATGTTATTATCAAAATAATATTTAACTGTTATCAAAACGTAGTGCAACTGTAGAAGCTTGCTCTGTTGTCTCACTGAAAGAATCACTTTTACCACGTTTTCTACAGACAATATTGAGAGATAAATAGTAGCAGTTCTCACTATGTGTTAAATATCTTTGCCTTCAATACATTAAATTAGAAAGCTGACAAAGTCATATTGCTTGTTATCATCTAAATGTAACTTTTTGCATGGAAAAAACCCTCAACTTAACTGATGTGTAGGGGATCTAGTATTTAGTATTGTTTAATGGAATGTATATCAGTGTATTCAAGTCAATACTTCATTCATTTAAACCAATATCTTTCTTGATTCTTTGTACAGTATGAAAAAAGAGTCTTTGTACCTGTGCTGAAGTTCACTGCTGTGAGGAGTCCAGTTCTGTCTCTCACTCTCTGGTCCAGCCTGTCTGCATCACCTGGACACCTTAAACAAACAGATATATATATATATATATGTAAAGTACCATGTGTACAAACAATATAACTGATTCTCTTCTGTTGAACATGTTGGATTGTGTATTGTCCGAGTCAGGGGCCTTTTTATTTTACTGTAACTTTGGAAGTTGTGTTACCAATGCTTACTGTTTATTTGATACCCATTTGGTAATGCAATTAATAAAAACAACAAGGTTTGGGTTCGTTCTTCAGATGACTGTGACGTTAACGTGTAAGCTCAATAATGAACTCCAGCTCAACCAACCATATTGTAATATCTAAGTAATCATCTTGAAATATGACATTAATAATTGTAATATACACACATCTTATTGTGAGGTTGATTTCACATACACTACTTCGACAATAGCTTGTCTACATACTTGAGCATAGCCAATTTAAATTAACCTTAGATGCATACAGTTCTACCTACATAATACAATATCTCTAAGTTACAAGGATGTAACCTTATTTTATCAACCTCAAACAGAAGCCGTTTGTTCAACAGTATTATCCCACTTAACACTTGTCTATTTAGTTTTAACCTTTATTAACTTGGAGGCTACGATTACAATCGTTAGCACCGATGTAGCTACCACTAGCCACTAACTAACCCAAGCCTTACCATTCATTACGTAGCCGATTAAAATCATTAACACATAAATAAAGCACTCGAATTTCACTTACCGCATTCATGCACCGTCTGTTTTAACCGCAGAGCGAGTCACAATAGTCTGATATATAAGCATGAAGAACAAACAACCACGGCCGGCTACAAGTTGTGTTTCCTGGATGAGCTGAGCAGGCAGAGTCCCTGTAGCTAGCTTCACGGAGCAGCTAGCAGAGAGACAAGAAGCTAACAGCGGCAGGCACTTGACAGAGCCGTCACTCAATGTGACCACGCCCTAATCTATGCACAAACTTTAAGACCTAATATGGTATGTTACTCTCCATTTGAAATATATAAAACATATGAGACAAGAGTCTGGCTGTTGCAACTTCATAGGCAATTATATAAACATGTATGTCTTTGCACATCCCATCTTTTTTCTGACATATCAGTATCTGTTGTGCGTGGATTTGAAGCTCGGTTGTGCGGCAATTATTAGGGTTTTTTCGATAACATGTTGACAACAATGATGCTAATTTGCTAACAGTAAATGTCTCGCTGTGTATCAAGATGCTCTTTGTATTCGTGTGACAGATGTTTGCTTTTCTCAACATGCCTATTCCAGTAATCTTTCTTGTGCAGTATATTTCCAGATGCAATGTTCAATCTGGTTAAACATAAATAAACTCGAGAGTAACTGTGTATCATTATTTTGTTATGCACTTAATGAAGAAGACAAACTAGCTCAAACGTCTTCCATAGTTTTAAGTGTTTACATCTGCTAACATCACAAATTGAGTTGCAATTTGTTTTTTGCAAATCGTGCAGCCCTATTCACGTTACCGCAACTTTTGAACACACATGTCCCATAACAATTGCCATTTATTGCTCTCCTCAGGGGTTCCCATTGTGTAGCACAAGCACATACACACAAACAAGGATTGTATCCACAAACTCACACGTGCACTCTTGTAATTCCAGCAGGATCTCTTGCCTCTTTGCAGTAACTCAGCAACCGTTATCTCTGCATCCACATGTTCTCTGGCTCTCTGGGATCATTGACTGTGTGTCAAATGACACCAAACCGAGGGATCACACACACACACACACACACACACACACACACACACACACACACACACACACACACACACACACACACACACACACACACACACACACACACACACACACACACACACACACACACACACACACACACACACACACACACACACACACACACACACAGATTGCTGGTCTTGTTAATCTGCAGCACTCTAGTCAGTTCGTGGACTGTCAGTCCATTTGGTCTGGTGGTGGCTGATTGTGCCCGGGGAGTATTCGGGTGGATGCATCTGTCAGTCACAGTATAGACCTCCCTCACAATGGCTGTTGATTGAGTGATAAAAAAGGGCGAGAAATTGTCCTTCACTAGATGAATATCTGACTGACGGGTCCACTGACCGTTTGGATGGTAAATAAATGCACTTGTTTATTTGACCTGACTAGTTTAATATTGGCTGGCTTTATTGTGTAAATAACTAATGGACTAACTGCCTAGCTGAGTGGCAGTTTGCCGTTTGTTGCTGGACAGGTGGGGCACAGAGGGTTTTAAAAAAGGGCTGCAAAAAAGGATTGTGAGGGTGAACCAACAGTAAAGTCATGGATTTCTCTGTAAAGCTTGAGGAGCTAGAGTTTGGTAATAATCTTCTGGGGTTTTGTCACAGAGCGTTATGTCGTCATTTGACTCATTGATCAGTTATTTATTGGTGCAGCTTTTGGGCTCGTGTCCACATAGCGCTCTCTGAGTGAGCATGTGTGTTTTTTCTTACTGCACCCTATTTTTTGGGCCGCTCCAAGCCCTTCGAGTTAAACATGTTTTTATATATTTGTTCTTGTCTTTAGAACAGAATCATAAGACAGGTATGCCGGTTTTTCTAGGAGCAGATCGGCCAAGCGGACACTGTATGAGTAGTTTCTATCACCTAAGTAACTTTGATTTTATTTGCCTAGGCTTTGATTCACCAAACCCATTAT